CAAAAAAGGGGGGGGGGTTGTCGGTGTTCTCCTGGAGTCTGTGTGCTTTTAATGTGAAGTCCTTCTGTCTTCCTCCTGTTTTGGAAGCTCAGCTTGTTTTCATAGGCCCTCCGTTGGCGCCCTCTTCTGTGCTGCTCCCAGCACCTGTCGGCAAGCAGATCGCGCCTCCTCCTAACACGGGGTCAGGTGCAGCTCTCCTCTGCTGCGGGCGGGCGGGTCACTGCCCCTCTGGATGCCGCAGACAGATGTTGCAGACTGGCCAGGCAGGAGGGCGGGTCGTGCCCCCTCCCAGCACCTCGATCAGGGGCTGTGTTCCTGCCCGACAGGCGGGGGGGCCGCTCTCCCCCTGCCTGCGCCGCCGGTAGCTCCGCTGCTCTGTGCGGCTGCGCGCTCTGCGCCGGCGCTCCGCCCTGGCCGCGCTTATTGAGGTCTTCTTTAATGTTTTTTAACACAATGTTGTAGTTTTCAGCTTTTAAATCTTTGCTAAATTTTCTTTTTTCCTTTCTTTCTTTCTTTCTTTCTTTCTTCCTTCCTTTCTTTCTTTCTTTCTTTCTTTCTTTCTTTCTTTCTTTCTTTCTTCTTTCTGATGATATTATAAATGGAACTATTTTCTTAGTTTCTTGTTTGGGTTGTTCATTCCAAGGGTATGGAAATACAATTGCTTTTTGTATATTGAACTTGTAACTTACAATCTTGCTGAACTGGTTTATTAGCTCTGATAGATTGGGGGGGTTGTGTTTGTGTGTGTGTGTATTCCTTGGAATTTTCTATATGAGATCATGTTATCTTGCAAATAGAAGTTGTTTTACTTCTTTCCAATCTGCATGCTTTTTATTTCACTTCCTCCCCTAACGGCCCTGGCTGGGACCTCCAGGACAGTGTTGCACAGAAGCGGCAAGAACAGATGGTCTTGTCTTTTTCCCGACCTTAGGGGGAACGATCCAGTCTTTCACCGTTAAGTATGATATTAGCTGTGGGTTTTCATAGGTGCCCTCTATCAGGTTGAGGAAATTCCCTCCTATGCCTAGTTTGTTAAATGTTTTTATCATAAAAGGTCACTGGATTTTGTCAGGTGCCTTTTCTGCACCTATTGATGAGATCATGTGGTCTTGTCCTTTTTTCTGTAGATATGAAATGGACACTTTTTCTACTAGGGAGGCTGTGGTCAGCGGTGTGGACTTGGGAGCCAGTTGCCCAGGGATGACCCCCAGCTGCGCCCCTTACTCACTGTGTGCCTCTGGGCAGGGAGCCTTCTCTGTGCCCCGTTTTCCTTGTCTGTAAAATGGAGGTGACAGCCCCGCCTTGTGGGGTTCTTTGAGAGTAAATGATTGCTTAGCAGACTGTGTGGAGCAGTGTCTGGCACCTAACAAGTAGGGTTTATTGACTGTCGGCTGCTGGCAGTGATGTCACGTGAAAGCTTTGATGGGCTGGGCTGGGAGGGCATGTGCGGCGGGGCATTGAAGGGGGATCTAAAAGCCCAGCAGATTCACCTGCTCTGAAAAATCTGGAAGCTCTGACAGGAGGTGGTCTGTCAGACTCTAGGGATCTCTGAGTCTTCCCCTGGGAGGGCTGGGTCCAGGGCAGGGCCCGTGCCAGGCCAGGTGGGCGCCTGCCACCACATCCTCCAGTTTGTTAGGCCTGGAGCACCCGCCCCGTTAAAGCTGGGCTGTAGGGGCTGCATGTTAACAGCTTGGAGCCTTTGCACAGAGCCCCTCCCCCCTCCACAGTCGTGCGAGGGCCTGCCAGCCCCTCCCCAGTGTTTCCACCCCAGCTCTGACTCTGGGCAGAGGATGCAGAAACCGGCCCCTGTTTAGGTAACGGCTTAACAGCTAAGAGCCAGGACATCTCACCCCACCGTACCTCCCTGTTCTAATTTTCCTGGCTTCTCTTTTCCTGGCCTGCCACGTGAGCCTGGCTCCTTGTCCTGGCTCTGTATTTGACTGTCAGGTGACCTTGGGCAAAGACTGCATCTTGGGTCCTCTGTTTCGGCATCTGTCCACTGGGACACTGTCAAAGCCCTCGGAGGATGAAATCCGAATGCTCTGTGCAGAGGGCCAGCAGCTCTGTCCACCAGGGCTCGACAAACACTGACTCCCTCCTAGGGTCCCCAGGAAACTCTGCAACCCTCAGAATCCACCAACATTAGAGTTTGACTTTGCTGGTGGGAAGCAGGGAGGGAGATGAAAACACTTTTTAATATACCCTGTGTCATTCTTGGCACTCGCTTTTATGAGATATGTGAAGCTGGATCTTACCTTGGTTTAATATACTGACCTCGCCAGCCAAGTAGCTAGAAGCTGCTGGAGACAAGCTGCTTTGTTGTTTACTTTTGGTTCAGTTTCCAAGTTTGGGGGGGTTGCCCCCACCCCATTAAATGCTCAACCTTTCCTGGCCCCTGTGCCCAGAAATACAGGGTGGTCCTACCTCCTGAGGAGCTGGTGCCCTGTTGGGGAAGAGGGTAGACCAGAAGGAGTAATAACAAACCAGTAATGCAGTTTAACAATCAGCGGAGAAATTCAGAATGCATTTTGTTTTCCCACAAATAACCTGCTTTGCTCACACTCGGTGCCTGGCACCAGGAGCGTCCTGAAGGACAGAGCTGACAGACCCAGCTCTCAGCTTTTCAGAAAACTAAACACTCCTAGAACCCCTTGGGTGGGTGCACAGTGGAGCACCCCTGTGAGACCAGGGATTCGGGAGAGCGGACTTGCTGGCTCAGTGGGGAGGTGGGGGGTGCTGGGCCAGGACTGGAGGGTGATGGGTGTGCTTGAGTGTGGCCGATAGATGTGATAATTGTGTCCAGAGCTGCGTTTTGTTTTCCGCCTCTGTTAGGAAGTGAGAGGGCGGGGCCCTGCGTCTCCCCATGAGGAGTCCCTTTGTGACTACGCACTCGCCCTCAGCGCCCTCCCCATGGGGTTATTTGCAGACTTCAGAGGTGATGTACGCAAAGCCCTCAGCGCAGTGATAGACCCCGGGTGAGAGCTGAATGTCTGCTGTCATTCCTGGGATTATCGTTAAGCCGACACAGTGTATGGAGGGGAAAGTCTTCATTGACCCAGAAAAGTGTTCAGAGTTGATTGAGTGAAAATTCGGGTTACAGAGCAGCATCCTGTTGGGAAACTCTGGGTGTGTAAATGTCACATGCGCAAGCGCAGGCTAAGGAGGTGGAGGTAATCCGGGTCGTGTCTGTGACTGTCTGGTTTTTACTTTTCTTTGATCTTCAGGGTTTGTTGTTATAATATATATTGGTTTTGTCACTCCAGAAATGCTATCAGAAAATGTAATTAAAGAATATGCTCTCGTCCTCGGGGCGCATGTGTGTTCCCAGGGGACTGCAGAGTGTGGGGCGCAGGGTGGCGGGACAGGAACACTGAGGGTGGCCCCAGGGAGTAGGCGATGCTGATGTGGCTTCTCCTCTGTCCCCAGATGACAGGATCTGCTCACCGCCCTTCATGGAGCTCACGAGCCTGTGCGGGGACGACACCATGCAGCTCCTGGAGAAGAATGGCCTGGCTTTCCCGTTCAGTGAGTCCCGTACCCCGAGCTCGCTGGGCAGGTGTGGGCCAGGTGGAAGAGGGCCTTGGCTGCCAGGGAGGGCCTGGTCCTGGGTCCCTAGGTGGTGAAGGCAGATGCTCTCCTGCCTGGCCCGGCAGCATTCATCCATCTCACCTGAGCACGGGTGCTGGCCCCTTCCCCCACAGGAGGGGCTGCAGGAGTTTTGAGAGCATCCCCCTGTGTCTGTCAGGTCGGGCTTGGTGGGTGAAAAGCTTTGCTAACTCCTCTGTTTTTCTCTCC